GGGGGTTGAGTTAGTTTTTCCTCCTATGGCTTTTGTCGGCCACTTTTTCAGTCTGTTGGTATAAAAGTACGAGCACAGCTTTGAAACTAAAAACCCCCCCCCCCCCCATCAGTTTAATACAGAGAAGCTGAAGCACAAAGGTTTCTAATTTTATGCTGGGCTTTAATGAAAATATATCAACTACACCTTCAGTGGAAGTTTAGTGATGTGAAATACACCCTTATTCAAGAAATCCCAACCCTGAGACCTTTGCTGAATATCGTAATCCCACAAATGCTACAAAATCCTAACAATACATCTTGATTTTCTATTTAAAAAAAAAGAAAAAAAAAGATTTCAGACTTTCCAAGCTTGTCTGCCATTCTTCTTCTCAGCTTTTTCTTGGAGTATTGGTAAGTCCCAAGAGTATTCTCAAACAAATCCTTCTTATGCTGGCAAAGGGAAACTACCTACTGCACTCAATCCTGATTATCAAGTAAAGTAAATAGTTTTTGGCCTTACAAAGTTAGAACTTTATTCTTGAACTTTTATAACAATTTGATAAGACACTAAATCCATAGCTCTGTAACAAGTTCTTCTCTTCATTTGCTGCCAAAGCTCTGGATCTCAATTTCTGTTATAGTGGTTATCCTTTTTTGTATATCAAAACCAACTCTTTGAACCCGTCTGCAGAAAATGTTGTTCTAGATGGGCAGAAACTTTGATTTTTTGAGGCAGCTTAAGGGGAAAAGGGGCTTTACTGCTCAAATATCTGAGAAAATGTATCTTTAGCTGGGTAGAAATCATTAAGTTTGTTCCATTTTGAGTCTTTTTCACCTTGTTTCCAGAAGTTATTTTTTTTCCTACATATAATCAGAGTAAAATAAAAACATATGAGAAACATATGACAGAGCAGAATGTCATGCTCTGAGGGATATTATACATAAACAATGGAAAGAAGAATATGAGTGAAGAGAGAGGGACAGTCTGCTTCTACACCTGCAGAAAGAGAAAAAAACACAACTAAGAAACCACAGTGTCAAACAACATGCATATCTAACAATAACTACAATATCACTGAACAAAATACTAGTTAATACAAGTTGTATTTAGTGGCAACTGCAGCCCAACATAGATTTGATTTGAAAACACCTGGAGCCAAACACTTGCCATGGGACTTTGCATTTCAAACTGCCTTAAGACTAATAGTCCACATGGCGATTAAACTCATTACAGTGGATCCATAGTATTTGTGGGAATTTGTCCCACAAATACCCCCTCTTGAGACCTCCTTTAAAATCTCTTATAACTGCATATTTTTATAATTCAGACAGTAAATATATCTTTTTTATGGATCTTGTCTTTGGTTTCATTTGGACATTGCTAAGTGTTCTCTACAAAAATAAAGTATATTGGTCTTTGAGAGGATGAACTTGTGTTATTCTGCCACTATCAATATGTCGCTTGAAAATAGTCTCAAAACAACATTATTATCATGTATCGCAATAATTTCTCAGACAGTTTATAATCCAGCAAATTTTATTGTGACAGATCTGAGTCATGACCACAACATTGAAATCAAACAATCCCAAGTATGTCTCTGTTAACCCATGATGTCAATACATAAAACATAACCAACTACTTTCAGTAGGTTAAAAATGGTTTACAACTCTGTTTAATCCTCTTTTTCGATCTAGTACTATAGTGTTCTCTAAGTAAATGCTCGATGTCCTTTCTCTTCTAAGGTCCATGTTGGTTGGAGTGTGTTGGCCATGCTTGGATCCCTCTGAGGTGTCACTCAGGGGTGTAGTATGCAGCTGTAGCTTGAGGGATGTGTGCTTCATATTTGTGTAAAATTCTGTGCCAAGCCCAGTGATCCCTGAGCTTGGCACCATCTGGGCTGGACAAGTGAGCCGAACAGACAACCGGTGAGGCTGTTATTGGAGAGTTGATCCTGGGGGTTTAAAAAGCCAGCTTCATCTAACCTCTAACCTTCCACCACAGCCTGAGGCAATGGCCCCCACTGAAATACATGGACACAGACAAACAACAATGTCTGCATGAAGCAATGCCCAAAGAAAAACAGGACTGACCTGACTTCTTCCAGCTACAATTGCAGGTCACAGTGGAGAAAAGCATTGAAATAATATATTTTACAAGGCAAAAGCAGTTTATGCAGAGACAATCTAAAAACTGAGTGGGCACCATTATTTGTGTCTTATATTATTAAACAGATGCAGCTCTGAAAGAATAGGCCTCAGAGATCCACTGAAGCAGCATGGTGATTAGAGAGAGATATAAATACCAGCTACAACTGTAAGAGAAAATACCATAATCACATTCTGTTCTCTAAAGTTCAAGTTTACTTTGTCATTTTAATAGTTTATTCACTTCTGAGTTATTTTCCCACCTGATACAATTTTAAAAATACTGTTTTTAAATGCCTAGTTTATCTTATTGGGTAATTGCCGACAGTTTTTTTTTTCTTTTTTGTATTGAATGATGGTGTTTATGGTCGTGTAAGTGAATGAAACATACCTATTGTTAAATTTAAAATATGCTAGTTGTAAAAACTTAACCATATGTTCAATATTAGATAAAATTAATAGTGTTTTAAATAAGAAAATTCATTCCAAATTATATCCATGGTTCAATTACTGTAATCTCTTAAGTAGGATAGTTCTATTGAAACATATTACACTAAGTTGAATTAAAATAACTTAGCATGCAGTTCTCTATATTTTAAAACACAGCTAGTTTCTCTGTGGACTGAGCAGACATTCACAGGGGGTCGTGGCTCTGTGTGTGAGTTTAACCTTTTGACCACTTTGATAAGATTTAACAGCTGGTGTAAAACAATCTGGTCCGGTCAACAGAGTAGAGCTTCCTCTCAGGACAGGGTCATAAAAAATATCTGTCTTCATTCAAAAGAAAATAATGCTTCTTTGATCTTAAAAACAGGTTTTTACTGGAACATAGTCAACTAGATTTAAATGAACTTAGCTAAGGACACTCCCCTAAATTTGAATACAGCAGAGAAGGGAAAACACGCCCTCCCTTTAAAAATATAGGACCCGGAACCTTAACTTCAGATCGCTCCGGGGTTACCAGTGATGCTGTCTCCAGGGAACGGTGCGTCAGTGAAATGGTTCTCCGTAAGTTTGTCTCGGTGTGTGGATGTCTGTGGAGTGAGGTAAAAGCAGCAGAAGGGCCTCGTGCACTTTTGGAAAGTTGGGTTCACTTTTTGCTAGCCTGGTGTGATGTGTTAGCTGCCAATCTTGGCCAAGATTCTCCTCCTTATGTTGATTTTTTTTCTTCATTGCATTAAAACTCCTGTTTCACAACTCCATTCTGTGTTGACTTGGGTTAACTTCTGATGTTAAAAATGTACAGTACTGCGAGCAAGATACTGAGTTAGTGGATTAATAATATCAGCTCTAATCAAACTTGAATATTTCATTTCAACCTGCCTGAAAGCTTGAAGTCAAGCTATTTATTTTTATTAAAATATAATTAAAACAGTAATTTGAAGTTAAATTGTCATTTTGCTTCAGTTTGAGAAGGCTTTATCTCCTTCCTTCATCTGACATCTTAGAAATTACCACTAAGAAAATTCTGCTCTACACACACGTCCTAATATAATTACAATAGTCACTTCATCTTCTGTGTCTGCCTCTCTGTCTCACTGCCTCCCTCATTCTGATTATCTTCTCTCTCCCTCTTTCACTTTCTGGCTCACAAATCTTGAAAATTGAGATCTGAAGGATGGTGCAGCGCGAAACCTCGATACAAGGCTACCACTCTCAGTCAAACAAAGACACTTCTCTGGCACAGGAAGCCGGGTGGAGGGGAAAAAACCTTGATGCATGGATTTCTCAAAGATTTTAATCTTGAGAGAGAGGAAACACGCGTTTTAATATTACCTTTGTTTTATATCACACAAGATGGGTTGATTTAAGTTAATCGTTCAGCGCAAAATCTGAATTACTCTTTTCATTTTTTCTTTTCTTTTTTTTACAGAAATGTGAGACCAAATTGAAAAGAAAAAGGTAATACGGAGTTGTCTTTGAGTTTTGCTTTCTTTTTGCTTCTTGACAGTCGAGTCAGCTCCCCACATGACTGGATAATTTCATGCATTTCTGTCCTGCTCACATGGGCTGCTCAGCTGAAGCACCTTCTGCTGCAGTTGATCTCACAAGGCTGATGAAACATCACCATAAAACTGCCTCATCCTGAGAAAAAACTTCAGACTAGAGGGGAAAACTCATCTACTTGTGATGTTGTCCAGCAATCCTAAACTTGAAAAAGTAACTCTATGCTCTGTTCTTGAGCTAATCTGAAGACCACATGAATGTTAAAGTTCTATAGCTATTGATTCTGTAGAAAGTTGGAGACCTGAATCAAGCCCAGCTCAGCATCCACTGACCTCACTGGTTTCCAGTTGTTTCCACTTTGTGCTCTACTGGTTGACTGTGGCATATTTGGTAGTGAGGACATTTACAATGTACTATTAGTGGAGCTAATTTTTCATTTAGGCACTTTAATTAAAGATTAAAACATTTAGCGCACTCATTCAACTTTTTCCAGACAGATTCAGAAGCACCAATTTACTAAACTGTTTTGTAAACTGCCAGTTTCATAAAGTTCAACATCCTTGTTGAAGTTTTGGTTATTGACTGTTAAGAATTTAAGTAGCAAGACGATTACATTCATACTCTTGTTTAGAAGAGGGGAAAGAAAAGTTGATCAGTCGTTCTGTTTCCCTTAATCACCTTCTCTTCCTTCCCATACCATGCTCCAAAACTTTATTTCAAACTAGAAACTTACAGGAATAAAACAAAACGTGGACAATTGAGAACAAGATATAAACATAAAGTCAACATCAAGGGGCTTTACATAAAATGTCAGTTATAATGTCAACGTTTAAATTGCTTGATTACTGTAGTCTTTTTAGGGCAGATATAATTTAAACTTCAGTTAGTGCTTTGTTATGAGCTTCTGCTAAATACTGTTAGCGTTAGCAGAACTGATGTTTATGATTAGTTTCTTAGGGTTAGCTCAACTAACTTTTTAGTTAGCAGTGGCCACCACTGCTCTTGGCAATAATCCAGGTTCTGATGTTTGAAAAGTGCTGCATTACAGTGAATTTCATTTTACAAGTTGTGGAACATGGAATATCTATTTTTTCCTCATTGCTCTTTCCACCTGCTGTTTCAAAGGTAATAGTTTTGCAAACAAACCCAGCAAAGGCCAGCATCAGTCTGGGCTCGGCTTGCTGGCAGAGCCTTCATTTCAGCACAGCCGGGCAGAGTTTCACCCTCCTCAGCCCGAGCTGCGGCCGCAGGATGCAGTCAGGATGATGGGGACTCCCGCAATGATTGAACATAATGACGTGTGAAACCATTAGGCAGCTAATCAGAACCGGCAATGAAGCTGAAGATGATGAAGGTGGTGCTGGCGAGGACTTCATCACAATCGTCCAAAAAAAGGAAACAGGATGGGGGATTCTGCTGCAGTGGTGTGTGTGCTATAAGAATGAAGGCTGGCATGGAGAGGGTATATGAATAATTCAGCTTAATCAGGGGAATAACTCTAGGCCAGCTGCATTTGTTTGGGCAAAATCAGTATCATTTCTTTTTGTTCGTCATTCGTCATCATCTTTTACTGGTACATCACACACTTCGCCCACAGCGAACCCACTTCTGAAGCTTTTGCCTTCGATTTCTCTCTGGTGTCTCTCCACTCTCAATTTTCTCTTAATTATTACCTCTTAGATCTTTTACTGTTTTATAATAAACAGCCTCTTGTGGAATACATAACTGAGAAAATCCTTACTTTGCACTTTTTGTGAACTGCAGACAGTCAATCTGGAAGTGTTCACAGGATTTCACTATTTCAGCATTTTGTAATATTACAGCTTTCCTCCAAATATTAATCTCCCTAACATTATGAAAACAAATTCCCTATTAAGACAAGGTTCAAGAAAGTTTTGTTTTGAGGGAATTTGATTTTATGCTTGGTGTTTGACCTCTGACCTGCCCTGGACCTGACAAAGACAGGTGTGCCTTATCAAATCAGGTCCAATCAACTGTATTCACCACAGCTGGACTCTATCTAACCTGTAGAAACATCTAAATGTTGATATTCATAATAATGAGGTATTTGTGGAGAATCAGCGTCACACTAATAAATTAATACAGAAGAAAATTAAGAGAATACAGTCATAATATTATGAGAATAATGTCAAAATAATATGGGAATAGTTGCATTACAAGAATAAAGTCATATTATTATGACTTGTATGATTTATATTACACTTATTCTCGTTTATTACTACTTTATTCTCGTAATACGACTTTATTCTCCTAATTTGATGACTTTATCCTCTAAGTACAACCTTATTTTCATTATTTTAACTTTATTTTCTGCATTTATTTTTCTTTAGTATGGTCCTAATACTAGAGTAGAATTTTGAGATTAATTTAATAATATCTGGTATAACGCTGTAACAAAATGTGGAAAAAGTGAATAATAACATATTTGGCATATCCAAGACATTAAAGAGACTGTAAAAGTTTGAGATGCATGTATTTTTCAGATATATTTTTGTCTGTAAATTGAAGTGAGAAGCAGAGCTTCAGTTTGGTCCACGATGATGCTGCTTCTGCTTTACCGCCAACTTTCCAATGCCAAATCCATCCTGACAGAAGATAAACTAGCAGCTAATGTTTCACAGTTATTCTAACAGGCAGCAAGCTGGGAAATATCTCTCAGTGTACATGCTAAATGCCAGGACTCATCATAGGAAAACAAGCTTTCCAGTGACTAACAAGTGCTGATGTTTGGTAGTGCAGTGAAAAACTTGACACACACTAGTTCTACAATACTAATACCTGAAGAGAAGCTCAGATTTTTTTTTTCTTTTTTAGCTGCAGCATTTCACTAAAATATTCATAGAAATTGCAACATGCCTTCCAATTGACTAAAAATGTCCTGAAAGTTTTGGTCTTTTTCCCATTGATAAAATTAAAAATGTTTTCAATTTTTTATTTTTTTGTTTGTTTGTTTTTTACCTTTACATTGTTTTGGTCAATAGGAACATTTAAGAAAGTTGAGAAAGTATTAATAGTCAAGCTAAAAGTTTAGATTTTTACATGCCTCATGCATGTGAGTACGGACTTTTATGTGACTATGACTCTGACCACTACACGAATTTGAGCCAGCAGAAAAAAGCTAATCTGAGTGCCGTTATTTCGGAGCTAGTCACTCAGCTAGCCAAAGCTAACACAACTATTTCCAGCTAGTCTAACAGTTTGTCCAAATGCTTGTCTGTGTTTCTTGACAGCAACAGAAATGTATTTTAAACATGATAACCTCATCTGAAACCTTGTCTAATGTTCTGAAAATAATAGCTCTGAAACTTTATCAATTCTTTCTAATGTCTTTTTTCTCTCCATTTTGATAAGTCTCTTTGATATTTTGGTCCATTCAATGTTTTGCAGTTCTATGTGTATTGAAAGGTCTGACTGTATAGAAGTACTGCCTTGGCTCAGTTGTGTTTGTAGTGTTAAGCTGTTTTCTAATCTGTCAAATGGTCAGATGTCTGACCTTTGGCTAAATAGGTTGCATCTTCAAAGGCAGATGGAAAGCTGCAGCGACCAATCAAGTCTCGGTTCTTGGCCTTAATGTTCCATACTTTCCTTAAAAATTATATTATGTACCATCTGCTTCAAGGTTATTTAAACAAAATTAGACACTGTTGCAAATGCAATGCCCTTTACGTGCTAAATGACATAGTTGTTTTACATAAGGTTTGAGAAAACTGTTTAATAATCTATTAAATCGTTTGGTTTAAGAGAACAAGATGAGGTTTTCAAACAGAGCAAAAATAGTTTCTAAAATTTTCAGCCAGAATCTATTTCAGTAATTGTGACTGTAAGACAACAGATGACTTGCTATATGCACTTTATTTCAGTCTGATGGAGAAAACAAACAAAAAAAGTGTTATTTTCTTATTTTGACATATACTTAATATAAACTGGACAACCAATTTCAACATTTCCACTAATTTATGGCTTTTTAAGTGGCGTTAAATGACAAAAATTACAAAAAAAGATATGTTATGCAACTGCAGTCAGAACTATCCCGGGGATTAGAGCAGACATTTTGGAGTTTTTAAAATACAAAGTTATGTGCTACTGATGTCTTATAAAAATGATTTGTCAAAAAAAAAAAGAAACATTTCAAACTTATTTGGCTTTGTGTACATGAATTATGATCCTCTGCCTGATTTTGAGCCATTAGTTTGTTTCATTAAGTCAGTGAAACATAAAATTCCAATTAGGAAGAATCCTGTGTGTCTGCCAAATGTAAAAATGCTAAACTGTGGCAATTAGCAGATTAATTTACACTTTGACTGTCTTTGGTTTAACATTGGTGTGTGTTGCATTTGACTGCTGCTTCCCCTCTGCTGCCTCAAAAGCTTTAATTCCACTCTAAATGGCTAAACAATATGAGTTGGGAAGGTCGGTATTCATTTGTTTTTACAAGAAACCGATAATCAAGTTGCAACTACATTCAGTTATAAGATTGCATTATATGATTACATTGGGTTGTTGAAAGTATCTGGTCATTTTATTGGAGGAAGTTCTTGAAAGACAACTATTGCAGAGCTCATTTAAGTGTCAGATGGTTTAAGTGCAGTTAAATGTTTAGATTTGTTATAAGTCCATGAGCATTTTAACAGCCTCTTTCCAGCCACTGATGGCCTCAAAAGACATTAAACCGTTGCTTCTTGTTTAAACTTTAGGGTACATTCACACCAGCCCTATTTAGGCTGTGTTAATTGCAATCTTGCTCCTTTGCCTAGAAAGTCCGGTTCGTTTGGGGAGGTGTGAATGCACAATTGAACTCTAATGCAAACTAAAAAAAGCAACTCTAGACTGCTAAAAACCAGGGCTCAGGTTTTTGGCAGTTGAAGTGAACTTAATTTCACTTCAATGGAAGTGAACTTTGGTGCGGTTCAGTTGCTCCAAAATCAGGAAGTGGACTACAGCTCAGGGCATTCTGGGTAAATACAATCAAAACAAACCAGGGAGTCTAAGTGGTCTTTTACCAAAGACAAATAAATCCTACAACAGCTAACACCTCTCCATTTTTCTTCACAAAGAAGGAAGTTGTGCTCAGTGTCCTCTTAAGAAGTGTTTGTATCTCTTCCTTCAGTGTTTTTGGTGCAGCGTCACAAGTGGGGGGACAGGGAGGTTGTTTGACTTAATGAAGTGCTAAAGCAAACTACACTAGCTGAAAATGTAACAAATGTTGCAATCTTAGTCCAGTATGTTGCAAAAGCACAAAATCTTAGAAGTGATTCTGCCTTTTTGTGACCAATTATTCCATCACAACTTATTATTTTAGCAATATCTAGGAGCTTGTTTTAAGAAAATATGTCCTTAATATTGTTTTTTTTTTTAAATAATATTTCCACTGGCAGATTACTTCACTTAACATGAGAAAAATGTCTTCTTATAAGTGAAATAATTTGCCAGTGGAGCTAGTACTTTTTATTAAATCAATGTTAAAGACATTTTCTTAAAACAAACTCTTCTAGCTTGCTGAAAAGCTACATGTAAGTTAGTTTTGTCTTGAAATGTACTAAGATATTTGAACAAAAAAACTAGACAAAAACAGTTGGTAAGATTGTGTTTTTGTAGTGTGATGATAAACTGTAAAAAGAATAACTAGTCACAAAAAAGGCTGCACAACTTCTAATTTTGTTCAGTGAATACTTTATGATTAACCTTGGAGAAACTGACAAATAAACGCTATAAAACGAGTCTTTGCTCTAGCTTTCTGTAGCCAAAGACGAAAGGTGATTTTTAAAAAGACATTACTGTACCTCAAATATAGGGACAAACAAGTTCATTGGTTAGTAATTAGCAAAGGTCACCAGTAATTATCCCCTTCCTGTGACCATAAACTGTGTCCTGGCAAGCTCCGAGGCTTCTGTGGCAGATCCATACTGGATATTCAGC